CTGTGGATGTCAGGATTGGCAAACTCATGCTGTTTGGCACCATTTTCCGCTGTCTGGATCCTGCACTGACCATAGCAGCCAGCTTGGCCTTTAAGTCACCTTTTGTAAGTATTCTTAACCCAAGTGCTGTGTTTTTGTGTGGCAGCAAAATGCTGTTGTGACTTGCAGTACACTACACGAGTATATTAATTCTTTTTAATGTGTTAATGCAGTGAAAACAGTCCAGTTATAAGCAGAAGTTCAAAACCATGTGGTAGCAGCAAGAGTGGTATTTATATACAGTAGAAACAGTGAATATTATTTTCGATTTCTAGCTAGGAAGTGCACACATTTTGTCTGAATTTGGTGTGAAAATTACTGGTAATATAAATTGTGAAACAGTGATAATGATGGAGCTGACATATCTGAGCTATGAATGCAGAGGTCAGTTTGGATCTCAATTTGTGTCTTCACTGTCACTTTGGCTTTTTTGAAACAGGTGCTCTTTTGAATGCTTCATATTTTCTGTTATCCACAGGGAAAATTTGCATTCTGACCTGTGAGCTGCTGTGAAAATAACAAAGAGGATATGCCATGTAGCTCTAGAATGGCTTGTCCAAGTGGTGAGGGAAAGAACACACTAACCTGTTACTGCCTGTTTAGGTGTCACCATGGGATAAAAGGGAAGAAGCAAACAAAAAGAAGCTGGAGTTTGCAGTAGGAAACAGTGACTACCTGGCTCTTCTCCAGGCCTATAAGGTGAGTTTAAACGCGGTAGCCTCTCTTGGGATTTTGTGATGTCTTTGAAATTCAAGCAGAAATGTTTTATTAAAGACTTCCTCTCAATCAGGGATGGTGTTTAAGTATCAAAGAAGGCTCTCAAGCAAGCTACAACTACTGCAGGGAGAACTTTCTGTCAGGAAGAGTTCTTCAGGTAAGTCAGTGTTTGTGGCCTGGCACAGGGACTGGCAGAATCCCAGTGACAGAAATAAGCCACTGGAGCAGACTTCCTGCCTGGTGTGGCAGCCGTCGCAGAGCTCTCTGTCTGTTGTAGGAAATTGCCAGTCTGAAGAGGCAGTTTGCAGAGCTGCTTTCTGGCATTGGCTTTGTAAAGGAGGGATTGAGAGCCAGGGATATTGAGAAGTGGTCCCAAGGAGGCGATGGCGTATTGGATGCCACAGGAGAGGAGGTAATTCACAGCATTTCATCAGTGCTTCGAAATGCTGCTGCAGTTTTTCATGTGGGCAGTGTCCAGAAAGGCTGGGGCCAGAGATATCCTGAGGTTACATGATGATCAGCGTTCAGTAGTTGTAGGATCTTCTGTGCTTTGGCACAACTTGTGCTTGCTTTCTCTAGGGTGCAAGCCACTTTGTAGCCAAATGTCAGAGAGCAATTCAGCTGGACACCAGGAAAGTGGTGGCCAATTTGTTCCATTGATAGTGGGGGGAAACACAGCCCAGGTCCAGCCTGAGGCTGCAGGAGCCATGACTTGTCCTCCTCTAATCAAGCACTAGAGTGCAGCTATAAAAGTGAACCAGTTTCAGTGATTCCTGGAGCAAGGCTTTACCTTTACACACTGAACTTTAACTTTACACACTTCACACACTGAACTGTAGGATCCCTAATGGTCCCCTATTGATTTCACAGGCAAATTCAAATGCAGAGAACATGAAGCTGATCTCAGCTATGTTGTGTGCTGCACTGTATCCCAATGTTGTCCAGGTAAAAGAATGCTTTTTCATTTTTCCTTTTTCTATCTAGCATAGCCATACAGCCTGCTTTCATTTGGGCTCAACGTGGCAGCCTTGAGCCTGGCTTAGGTTGCCAAAGTTCGCTGCTTGTGGTGTCCGAGATTGGAGTAGAGCTCCAGCTTATATTGCCTGAGACTGCTGGTGTTCCTACAGGCTGATTGCAGTGTCACACAGAAGCCAGCTGCAAATGTTAAGACACTTAAAATTACATCTTTTTAGAAGGCTGAGGTTACAAAGGAAGTCAGGGTTAGACAGTACCTGGAGTGTAATGCCGGTCTCCAGTAACTTGGTATGTTGCTACTACAGAATTTGTTTTTGAAAAACTTAAAAGATTTTCTGGTGCAGAAGATTTTTATAACCTTTTTTCTTACCATACAGGTGAAAAAGCCGGAGGGTAAATACCAAAAGACCAGTACAGGAGCAGTCAAAATGCAACCAAAAGCAGAAGAGCTGAAGTTTGTTACTAAAAATGATGGTTATGTTCATATTCATCCTTCGTCTGTGAATTATCAGGTCAGGATGCTTTTTTCTGCAAAGCATGCTCTTTTTTTATAAAAGAAATCACCTTTGCTTGAGTATTTAAAATTACACTGAGGCTCCCTATGGATGTTTAAAATAAAAAATCTTAATGATTGAGCAATCCTGCGTTAGGATTGCAAATAATGGTGCATTCTGGAGTTAGGAGTGTCCTCTTGGGCACAGTTAAATTCCAAACAGTTGTTGACAGCTCTTACGGGTCAAGGAGGGTCTCTCAGTGCTGGAGGTGCACTTTTAGGTACATTTGCTGTTCTCTGCAGCTGTAGAAGAGGCAGAGGAGGCCTGTATGGCAGAGGCAGGAGGAGCAGTGTCACTCTGACCAGGCCGCTGTGTCCCTGTCCCAGACCAGGCACTTTGAGAGCCCGTACCTGGTGTACCACGAGAAGATCAAGACAAGCCGCGTGTTCATCCGAGACTGCAGCATGGTGTCCGTGTACCCGCTGGTGCTGCTCGGGGGCGGCCAGGTGCACATCCAGCTGCTCAAGGGGGACTTTGTCATTTCCCTGGATGATGGCTGGATACAGTTTGTGGCTACCTCTCACCAGGTGAGGAGCAGGAGGGGCCATGCTAGGAGAGCTGCAGAGCTGAGCTGGAGATGAGTCTGACCCTTACCTCTGTGTTTCACCACGTGTGCTAGGTGGCCGAGCTGGTGAAGGAGCTGCGCTGTGAGCTGGACCAGCTGCTGCAGGATAAAATCAAGAATCCCAGCATGGATTTGTGTATGTGCCCCCGTGGCTCTCAGATCATTGGGATGATAGTCAAGCTTGTGACCACACAATGACATCAGAACAGCTTTCTGTAAAGAATCACCCATGGCCACTGCCTGAGAACAGACCAAGTAACATCAGTGTCCTGATGTATTCATTAGTCCAAAATGTGGCATTGACCACCGGAAGAAAAGGCTGGCAACTGTACGGTTTTGGGCTTTTTTTCCCTTTTGTTTGCTTGCTGGTTGAAATTAAGGTGGCTTACAGTAGACTCTGGGAACTGGGGAAACAGCAACTCTTCCAGAAGGAATAGAAACCTTAGTATTTATGGGACTATACCCTGGTAGTCATATTTTCTGGTCACACAAACACCTGGTAGAGAGCTGGTTCTTGTAATAGTCATGGCTGGAGGCAGCATGTGACATAGGGAGCTGCTCTCAAATTGGTTTAAACTCACTGCTGTATTTTGACCAAGACTTTACTGAGGCAAGTTTGGCTGTCCAGGGATCCTCTGTTTACAGTTCAACCCAAAGCCCTTGTGCAAGTGAGGAAGAGGTTTATTTTGATTTATGTGAAGAGGTTCTGAATTTCAGATACTGTCCTGTGGTGAGATGTACTGGATCAGTCAGTGTAGTGTCAGATCAAAGCAGGGTGCTCTGGTGACAAGGTAAAACTCCAGGACAGTAGAGATGGACATTCTCCCTGAAAGAGAGGCTGTTCCAGCCCTCCTGCACTGGGAAGAAGTAAAAAAGATAGGACTGCTGTAGTGCATGAAATGTATTCTGGTGTGGGGTCATCCTCCTGCCACCCTGCACAGCTGGAACAAAGTCCCAGTTTTGAAAGCTTTGAGCCAAACTCCTGCTCTGGGGACTGGGCTGCTCCAGTGTGTGGCAAAACGCTGTAGCAATAATGAGCTATTATTTCCTCCCTTTGGCCTTGCTTAATTGCAGTGCTGAGCATTGCTGCAGCCAAGCTGCTCCAGTACCAAGTGCCTGAAGTGATAGGAGTGGGCTGTCACCCTTCACAGTAAGACCAGTAAGCAGCACCAGTCTGGTCTACAACCTTCAGCCTGAGGAATGATGAGTGGAGGGAAGAACATTGTTTGGAGAACTGTTTGATTTAAAAAGAAAATACACATGAATGTAGGAGTTTCACACCAACACACCCTCCTGTGAGGAAGATGACAGGAGTACCAAGACCAACATCCCTGTGCAGAGAATGGCCACTGCAGCTCTGCTGGGATGGCTTAGTCCCAGCTGGCTTCACTCCCTGCTCCATCCCACCTCCATGACCTGGCACTGGTAAGAGGATGAGATGGGAGAAGATTCACACATAGCGATACATCAAGTAAAAGCAATGCACAGGCACAGCACAGTGAGGAATTTATTCCCCACTGCCCTTGGGCAGGCAAGTGTTCAGCCACTCTGGGAAAGCAAGGTGCTGTCCTTTCTAACATTCCTAAAATTACATAGCACTCCCCTTTCTTTGCTATTCTGATAACGGCCCTTATCAGCTGCAAAGAGAAATCAAATTGGCAAAGATCCTGCACTATTTTATTAATTCGGTAACTGATCCATGGTGGGATAGGGATAGCCTGGTTTCTTAAAGCAATCATGGATCAGCACAGCAGCAAGGCCCTTCCCTGGGCACACATCACTGCCTGGATCGAACCAGGCAGATGAAGGGGAAACTTGAGCTCTCAATTCTGCACAGATCCTGCTACTTGAACATGACCTGCAGGATGTGATTAGGACCTGTCATCTCCACAAACCCCCTCCAATTTCCTAAAAGTGTTATATGGACATATAGTACAGAACAGGCACCTGGCACTGGTACCTTTTCCCTCTAGCTGGTGCTCTGCAGGGATACAGATGGTTCACGTGTGCCTGTCCCAACCTGCACACTGTTTTTCACTCCAGGGGCACAGTGCCTGCTTCCCCATCCCAAATATGAATAGCAGGGTTATCACAACTGGTTTCTTAGTTAGAAAGGCAGTTTATTTCAATGCACCAATTAAAAAAAAAAAAAAAAAAAAAACTCTCAACATTTTCAGATCACAGAACATGAACACAACAGAAGAGTTTTATATCAGTCTGCTAACAAGACTTTTAGAAGACAGAGATTCATGCCAATTGCTAGTAAATAGAAACTGCCTTCTAGGACTAAGCCCTTACATCACAAAATCCCTTATAATGTAAACAAAATAGGTTTTTTTACTAAACTTCTTAGATTTGAACCCATTCTTTTAGGACTTTCATTTCTTCAAGGGCTTCCTGATGGTGAGTGACTGAAAAGGAAAAAAAGACAAAGCCTTAAGAACACCTCCTACAGCAAAACCAACAGAAACTGCACGCTACCCCAGGCTTCCTCTGGAGTTCTGCAAGTAAGTGCTGTATTTTACACTTTAATGAAGAAACTGCTTTAAGCTTGAAAGCTAAATAATAGAGCAGAGACATCAAGCCTGCTCCAAAAATCTCAATTCCAGCATATACTTTCCCTGGCAACACAGGAAAACTTCTTCCTTCATGGAGCATAGCACAAGCTTGGCAACTGTGCAACTCCTGAGCCTGCAGGAGTCACCAGAAGGAATTTAAGCCTACACCATTTTCATGGCTTGCTCCACACCTTACATTACTCACTTGCTCCCTAGATTCTAAATTCCTCAGAAACATTTCATTAAAGCAGGTTTCCTTAGGGGTTATTATGACATTCTGACTACCAGCAACAAGAAATGCCCGTGAACAATTCATCTCACAGATCACAGATTTAGGCAAGTAAAAAACCTGAGCTTTTATCCTTGCCCAAGTTCATTTCTCTAGGAACTGCTCCAGCTCATTGCTATTGAACCACAGGACAGACTCCAGTTTTAACACATTCCTACCTTCTCTTTGGAGATGGTGTTCTGGACTTTGACCGGCTGTTTAAAAACAAACAAACAAACCAGTCAGTTCGGTTGGTACACTTAGGTGCTCTCAGTAACCACTTCTGACCATTTAAAACCAGAAAAAATTTATTATGTTAAATGCATTGATACTGCTGGTAGCAAGTGTGCCCAGTTACTTTAAGCAAGAAGCTGCAGGTGAGAAGGAAAAATGCTGGAAGCCAGAACCCTCTGAGCAACACAAGGCTTCAAAGCTGCTGGAAAATCACAGTAACCCTGCAAAGCAGGGACAGTGAATTGAGCACAGTTAGGGAGAGGGAGAGCTGCAGACATTTGAGAATAAAGGTAGGAGAAAATATGCCCCAAATCCTGTCCAAAAGATTTCATTTTGTGATAATGAGTGAAAAACATCTGTATGCAAAATCCTGGAAGAATTACCTATTGTCCCACAAAAAAAACCCTCAGCTGTTAAAAAAATCATAATGTATGAAAAATGTTTTCAAAACCAGCTATGAAAAGTAAAAAAAAGAACCCTGCAACTGAAACACTGGTCCAAACAGACATTTTGAATCATGAGGAGAAAACCGAAGAACCCGACCACCCAAAACAAAAACCAACTGAGGTAACTTGTATGAACGCTCACCTTTTAGCAGGTAAGCCAGATTTAGATCTACCATGAGACTCAGACCTACAAACAGGAGAAAAATAAAGCTCAGCAAAGCAGCCAGTGGGCATGCAAACACATCGAGAGTTAGCTATACCAGCAACAGCAAATTCACCCCATGCAGCAGCACCAACCAGAGGGAAGGCTCTGGTGCTGCAGGCCTTCCCCTGGGACCTTCCAAGGGAATCCTTTAGCTCTTATTGCAGAGATCCCACTCATCAGAAGGCACAAGTGCAAGCAGAGGAAGCTCCCCAGCAAAGCTTCAGCTGCCGGTTCCACAAAACACCAGATTCCCACACTTTCTAGAAGTGATAACTTGCAGGTAGGAAGAAAGGGAAGAATAGTTTCAAGTGTCATCTTAGAAAGTATTTTAACAGCACATTAAGAGCCTGGAATCAGCCACAAGTGAGCGTGTGTGCTGAAGAGCTGGTGCATTCTTCAGCTCAAGTTCCCAATCCCAGTTTTATTCAAGCATAATACAGATTTTGCACCAGTATCTGGCTACTAATGAGTAAACTATTCTCAATTTATCTCAGGAATTAAAATCTGCTTGAGCAGCGAGACTTTCCTTCACATTTATTATGATACTTTATCAACTCAAATATTTGCTGTTACTTAAAAATTATGTCTTCCTAGAGTGTCAGAATTCAGGTTATCACTTGACATGACATCAGAATGCTGTTCAGCAAGTTTGGCCAAAATAGCAAAGTACTTTCAATACTCTATTTCTGCTCAGAACTGTTTTTGAAGGGTAATCAAGATTCACTTTTACTTGGCGTATTAACGCATGGAAATACTAAAAAGGCACTGCTGGCACATGGTAAACGAAATGGCACTACTTTGAAACCTTCATGTTCACTATCATAAGCCACTGTCTGTCCCATTTTCCCCCTTAAAACAAGTAACTTTTTACTGGATGGCAGTTACTGACGATAGGAATGCTCACAACCACCCAGAACTGGTACTCAGCACCATGAGCATCTCTTCCACTGCTAAGTAAAAGGCAGCACAGCACACAAAACCATCCTCAGTTTGCTACATACCTAAGAATTAACTTGTTTTTTAAAATTCTCTCCACAGACCTTAAATTGTATATCACTACTTTTGTCTGGGAAAAGCCTTAAGTTATTAAGTAAAAATATTGCTCTGCTGGACAGCCTTCTAAGTGCTTCCAGACAAATTCCCCAAGGGAAGAAGGAAAAAAAAAAAAAAAAAAAAAATCAACTATACACCACCACAACCAAACGACACACCAAAACTATTACTGGTTTGAATTAAAACAAGCGCCTCACCTGCTTCGAGGCCATACAACAGAGCGGGACCTGGAACGTGACCTGGACCTAGATCTGGAAATAAAAAAGAACTACTATCACATGCTTCATAAAGGTGAGACAGTAACCAGTTGTTGTAAATGTCTCAGAAGACTAAGAACTTTGTTGGACTGCTGGTTTTACAGAAGTTTTATTATTAGAAGGTTGTAGCACCTTTGGTCAGTACTGCCATGCATATAAAATGAATCCAACTGTCTTACTGGATAAGCAATTACAGCCTGTACACTTGAAGCTGAATTTGGAAAGCTTAACCAGAGAGCAGGCCTGTAACTTTGATACAACGTTAGAAAGAAAAAATAAAATCTCAGACACAGCAGTTCCAGAATCACACACAAATTTTTTAAAAATTATTCAGAGTAGCTCTTGTGCACATTACACCACAAAGGTTCCTACCAACACATGGACTGCAAAACAAAATTACTGATTATATTATATATGCTATATATAGATACTTGATACTTCAGCTCCAAGTTATATACCCTTCAATAATGCTGTGACTTTAACAGCAATCACATACCTTGACCTTCTTAGAGAACCAGAGCGGGACCTACGGGGTGAGAATGATCTGTATCTACGAGGAGACATCGACCTGGACCTGCGGTAGGAAGCTGACCTGGATCTGCAAAATAAAGTGAAAACCAACCCATAGCTGCAAGGTACTTTGCACAACTACAGGAGAGGAAGAAGGGGCCGCCAGAGGAAGGAGTGAGAATGAAAACAGAAAAGGCAGGGCCCTACCTCCTACCACGGCTGCGACTGCGTGACCGGGAATACCTTCTTCCTCGGGACCTCGAGCGGGATCTAGACCGAGACCTGGGTTTAGGTTAGAAAAAAACAGGTATCAGCAGACAGCTGCAGCAACCAGCACGTGTGAGGCCCTGCTGAAATCAAAACTTTTTTCAGACAACTAAAAAGAGAATTTAAAAATAAAACAAAAGAAGAAAATCCAAAAACGAAACCAAAGAAAACAACAAAAACACACCACTAGCATCTGTCAGTTGGAAAAATGTTTGGGCCTACTTGTCTTGAGCATTTTTACTGCCTAGAAAAATGTTAAAAGCTGAATTACATTGCAGAATTACATTAGAATAGAAAACACTATAATGCGTATTTAAAATAAACCTTGCAAGTTTGCAGGTCGACCCTCTTTGGCCCAAGGTCTAGCAGATCTAGACGATCTAGAAGTATCTATAGGCGAGCGCTGCATCTAGGTAGGTGTTCTCTTCAATCTAACGACGATCAAACTGACAGCCCAATGAGCCAGGGTGAGGCTTGATGGACGCAAGAAGATTTTTCTAGGTGGGAATGTGGTCAATCTGGTGTTCCTCTTTCTAAACCGGAGGGGGGCCCCCCAATTGAAAGCCAAATTTACTGTTACGGCGGTCACCGTCTCAAATTTTCTGCCCTTAAAGAATAAGGTGAAGCTACGTGTAGATGGCTCGAGGGGATCTGGCCTCTTATGCTGATCACCTCAAGGTCTAGGAGGATCTTAAGTGTCGGATTTGCAAGGCGCCTCAGCATGAAATCTTAAGGCTCGTGACATTCTGAATCAAGGCGACTGACTCAAACGAAGAAACCTGAAAGGTTTTGACCAGGTTGATTATTAAGATATTAACATTTTAGATGTATTAGCAAAAAAAAAGAAATTGTGATATACACCTGTTGACTTACGACAATTAGAGTTAAAACTGGTGTAACATTGTGTTCTTTGCTAACAAGAACTATATAAAAGCGAGCTGGCGAAACAATGCGGCCACCCCGGCCCCGCACGTACCTGCTCCTCCTTCGCCGGCTATAGCGGTGACAGTCATAAGCATAGTGGCCTTTCTCACCACACTCGTAGCATCTGTCGTTGGGGTCGAAGGGGCGCCGGGCAGGAGGACGGTCGTAGCGGGAGCGGCGCGGCATCCCTGTGGATACTTCCACTCTGACCCTGGAGCCGCATATTATCCTGCAAGACACAGCAGCTATTAGTCAAAGGAATATTTTCCTTTGATCGGCCCAAGCAACGAACATGAAAAATCCATGACTGGTGTGGCATAGGGAGATCGAGGGCTGTGATATTCAGAGAAGTTCCAGGCATGCACGTACTTCCCATCGAGGCCAAGCACAGCATCTTCAGCATCCCGGGGGTCTTCGAACTCCACGAAGGCGAACCCCGGCGGGTTCCTGGCGATCCATACGGTTCTCAGCGGTCCGTAGTAGCTAAAGGCTCTCTCCAGCTCGCCTTTGCCGGCGCCCGTACCCAGGTTTCCCACGTACACTTTGGTCTCTGCAAGGACATGCGGCCACCATGTCAGCGCCGCGCCCGGCATGAGGCCACCCCTCCCCCGCACCCTCCCCGCCGCCATCTTTAACACCGCGTCCATCTTATGAGCGCTCCCGCTGAGCCGGGCCGCGCCGGCCCCGCACAAATCCCGCGGCAGTGGTCGGCGGTCCCGGCGAACCCTCCCCGCTGCCACCGCCCCTATCAGAGGCCGCCCGAGGGAACGAGCACCTTCTCCCACCGCCAGAGCAGCACGAACGTCCCCGTTCCCGCCACCTTTTCCTCGCCCCCCTGCCCACAGTAGAAGCCCCTACGCGACTCTGAGACGCCCCAAGTTCCCTGCCCACCCTTACCGTATCGCCCGTATCGAGACATCCTCCCGACGACAGTGCAATCGCTGGTAGGCGCGACCCTTATATAGAAAAACAGCAGCTGCGCCTGCGCGCCGCGCGGGGGGCGGGCCCGTTGCTCGGCGGGCGCGGGTCTCGCGAGAGGCGGCTCCCGCTCGGCGGCCATAACAGCTCAGCGGGGGTGAGGGGGGCCCACGCTCGCCCCCGCCATCCCCCAGTGAGAACTCCTGTCTGGCTCTGAGGGGGCAAACGAGCCACTTGTTGCATTGTACACCCCTCCACTGATTGTGAAGGAGCTGACACCATGGGCCTTACTCCACGGCCAGGAGTGGTGTCTTCCTAGGAACCAGGCATTCCCAAATTGCTCCAATTCTCTTGTGACGGCTCATGCATGTTATAAATGAGAGACAAAAGTCTCGATATTCAGTAAAATTTTGGATTGCTTTATTTGATACAGAAAGAGCAAGCAGCGCGCTGGGGAACGCGAGGGGTCACCGCCCACTCCACGCTCCACCGAACCTTGGTTTGCAGTCCCTTCTTATACTGTGGTTTCTCATTGTAATCAATAATTTTTGGGGTTTTTTTGCTGTCATAATTTTGCTAGGTAAGCAGTGGTGGACGAATAAACATCCTTACACAAATTCACAAAGCCTTTGGGTGATAATCAGTCACAGATAGCCATCCGGTCCTTGTAGATAACCACCAGAGAAGTTCTGGAAGTCTGGTTCTTGAGATAGGCAGCATTGATCAGACAAAGGCAGGAAGGGCTTTTTGGGAAGTTCGATTTCGCAAGCTGGTAGCCGATACAACTTATTTGAAAAACATAATATAACATAATGTAATGTAACATAATACAACATAATATAACATAACAAGGTGATTTTAAACAGAATTATTTAATCATATAATTTCCTTTATCTAGTGTCCATGCTTCACTTCAGAGCTTAGTATTCTGGTTTATGCAAACCCCAATGCTTTTGTGATTAACACGAATCTTTTATCAATTGTCACATGCACCTTGGATCCATCCCAACCAGCCTTGAAGTTCAGGCCCTGGTTTATCCCCTCATATCTGGCATGCACATGGAGCTGTTGTGTGTTGGCATCTCCCAAACTTTACAGAGAGATACACAAGAATAGATGTGCAGTATTAAGGAAAAAATCAACACAAACCTGACAGATTCAAAGTAATTTTAGGTAAATCCCAGCAGTAATGAGGAGAACCTTTTAGGAACAAGGGTCAGGCAGATTTCCCAGTTGCATTTGAGCACACTAATGTGCTTATCTCCTAATAAGGCAGAACAAATACACTGATATAAATGAGGGCTTTAAATGTTCCTCACTGCATTAATAATCTCAGGAATAATCACATAATGATTTCTACATTGTGTGTTGGCATAAAATAGAAACATAGCATTAAGAAACATAAACTTAGTGAATTGCAACAAATTTTCCTTTCACAGATCCCTGGTTTTCCAGGCACTGCTGCTCTAAAATAACAAATATAGTTAGGTAATGTTTTTTAAATTGCTGTTTGCCTGCTAACCTTCCCTAATAATTTTACAAACTTGGACATACACTGTAATTTATGTTCTAAACTAGGAAAACAATAATGGGAAAACAAACAAACAAATAAAACAACCAGCCACAAAAGCAACAAATCAAAACAGCTTTATGAACATTTTTTAAAATTTGGTTTGGGAAGTACAGATGTCGTAATTCTCTTTATTAAAAAAAAAAAAAAGAAAAGAAAAAAATCTGGTATGCAGTTCAAATAAACATGCCTTCAGCACTAGATAATTAAACTAGTTTTAAAGGGAGAACAGTAAATGTATTCTATATCATCTTATACAATACTGTTACAAAAATTCTAAACTGACAAGTTGAACTGACAAATCAGTTTAATACATCAGCATTATCCAACAGCTTTGCTTCTAATAAAAACAGCGCATGAAAAAATGCTTGTGCTTTGAGTTTATACTTCTTCTTTTATCCCTTTCTTTACGCACAAAAAAGTCAAGACAAAAGTACCCAAAACGTAGCATTTCTGCAAATAGTGAATAGTGATGCCCAGGAGAGTTCTAAAAACAGAGAGTTCCTAAAGCAGGAGCGTTCCTAGAGACAAAAGGCTTCCTCAGCAGGGCTTGGGGGCTGCTGGTCGAGGTAGCCCTGCAGCAAGCCCTGCATGCGGGACAGGATGATCTCGTTGGCGCTGCTGCACTGCTCGGGGCTGTACGGGGGCTCGATGGTCAGCACCCCCGCCACGCTCAGCGTCCTGCCCTGCTCCCCCTGCTCGACCACGGGGATATGGTTTGTCTCCAGCCAAGTCTTCAAGGCGTTCTTCCTCTTCTCCAGCTCCTCCGGGCTATAGGCTTGGCTTTCCTCGGGTGCGGAGATGTGAGCGAGGCGCTGCTTCATGTCACTGTCCACTTCCTGCAGTATTTCGACCTCTTGGATGGCGTGGCCCATAATGAATGATAGGGACCCTTTCTCGTTCTCTGGGAATGTTGCAAGGACAATGCTGTCAAAGAAAGAAGATTGTGTAAGTTTCTTAACTGAAGACTGAGAAGCAGCCTCCAAGGTTTTGGAGATAAGAGCTCATTTGCATCAGCCTAACACAGGTCAGGCAATATCCAGCACCCAGCATTTTCCTTTGAAAAGCATGCTGCTATATACACTTAAAATACTAAAAATGTGGGGCTCTGCAGGTAATTGCTGGTCTTGAATTCGAAACTGCCCTAGACTATGAAGAACAGTAATGTACACTTCGCTTTGAAAAAATAAAGTCAAGTATGAAAACTAAATATTTTTGTGCAGCATTCCCAACACTACTGAAGAACCTTTAAAACATTTAAACATTCAGAAACAGTGATACATTCATACATATAGCACTTTGAATGCTGAAGGCAACTAACAACACCAGAATCTTTTAATGAAAAAATAGTAATATTTATTGATCATTGCCCAAAAAATATATATATTTTTTTTATGACTGTTGCCAGTTTGTGAAATGAAAATACAACAGGAACACACTACAGAAGGCTCAGGCTCACACTGTAGAAGCCTGGTCTTTTCCCAAGGACACTTGCATCCCAGAAGTCCTAAAATGCAAGTAGGAAGGCAGCTGGTTATATTTCTAGGATCTCTCCCTCATATATCAACAAAGAGTATCAGAAAGCATTTTATTCCTCTTGTAGGAAGCAAAATTCCAGAACTTGATGCCAGCACTTCACTAGCCTAGTATTGCCACCATTAGTGATAGTAATGACTTTTTGGGATGTATCCAGTGAGATATGCATCGATTTCAGCCTGGACCATCACCAGAATCACAGCTGCATGCACCTTTCTCACCAAAATGCTAAGAAACTTCAGGAGCTTATTTGAGCTACTCCAGAGCTGGCACAACAACCAATTCTTCTGAAACACATCAGAAGCTGATATGTTTTCAGCTTCCATCCCGTGTTCATGCTGGACAAGCTCATATCCCATACGGTATGAAAGAGCTCTGGCAGCAAGGAGACAAATTTCTGCCCATTCCCTGGTGCATTCTGCTTTTCAAATCCTGTTTCCAAGCTACTCACTTGGGATACCAGAGATGTGTGGTACCACTTTCTGTCCAGTGCCCCTGATTTTCCCTGCTTGCTCTCCAAAGAAGCCTCTACACAATCCTGGGTGTCTGGCTAGAGTGGAAAGCCAGGCATCAATGCAATAACTCTGGACAAAGGGTAAGGATTTCAACACCTAAAGCACTGAAAACACTCCTGCACTCTTTGTAAAGCAGGGTTTGGTATATTATTAAAAGCAATCCTTAGCTCATGGATTATTGAGATGTAATAGTGTAGTTTAATATGTAAGGTTTAAATAAGAGTAAGTCACTTGGAATTATAATACTGTGTGATTTAATATGCTGTTCACTTAGCTTTACTTAGTATGAGTAGCTGAATTTGTTGAAGCCTTGGCTGCATGCTGTGAACTTTCACCTTGAACACATGCATTCAGTTGGTAGTTTATTTTCTTAGCAATTCTCCTAGAAGCCGGCACAGTGCTGAGTTTTGAATTGACAGTGAGAATAACGTTCCTAGCATACTGATATTTTGGTTGTTGCTAAGCAGTGATGATTCTAAATCAAGGACTTTTTAGTTTCCCATGCTCAGACAGAGATGAGGTGCACAGGAAGTACAAACCAGAAGAGGCTGCAGCCATCAGCAGAAACTGCAACTTAACAAGATAACATGCCATTTTTGCTCCAGATAAGTTTGCTTCAGCCTTGGGATCTTTTCTCCTCCTAAAAATCTTGCTTTTTATTACTTTTAAAGAAATAAAAGCTTCGGTACTTACGTGGCAGAAATTGGGTCAACTGTTAAAACCCATCCTTCATATTCATGTTTCTCAACAGCAACAACTTTCACCAATTTGTTCACATACGTTTCCCAGTCTAGAGGGCTTTTCCTCTGCCAGTCATTCATATTTCCTATATCCAGGACCTAGAAAACAACCATATCAATCAGCAGATGCAGTCAATCTTTTTGCTTTGCTCTTCACGTCAGAACTGTGTTTGCCTCTATGTAAAGCATGTAAAGACTTGTCCTAAGCAAAAATTTGGCTTTTCTAAGCAGACATTCCCACAAGTGGTTTGCATAAAGCTGCAGTTCTGTAACTCCCCACGGAGTCTGCTTGTTTTTAAAAGCACACAGCAAAGCCTCAAACCCCTCTGTTCTGCTACCCCACTGTAACCTTACACTTTCCCGTTAAATTCAACACTGCATCTATTGCTCTGCCTTCTTACAAAACCTTGGAGGTAAAAGTTCAGCGCCTTTCTCCTCATCCCCCGCGCTGGAGCAACAGCAAGCGCTGTTCCATCCTTTTCTCCCGTCCAGCATTCCCATCCCAACGCTTCCCCGCCAGCGAGGCCGCAGAGCTATGGGCGCAGCGCAGTTCGGGGAGCACAAAAGGCTGGAGGGCGCTTAGTTCCCCAGGAATGCCTTCCTGGCAGGAAGAGCTTGCACAGCCCAACTCAGCGGGAGCAGGAGCCCCGGGGCCCCCGGTCCCCATTCCGCTTTCCCGCTCACCGGCCCCCGTTCCCATTCCCGCCGAGGGCCCCTGGGAGCTGCCCCCGAGCAGCGCTGTCGCTTCCTGGCGCCGCCGCCGAGCGCCGTCTCCAGGCACGGGTGACCCGAATGCTCTCCGTACGGAGTGTTACGGCTGCGAGAGGGCACTTAAATGACACAGAGGTTTGCACGTATCAGGCCACGCTGCCAAACAAGGTAGTCGGGGCGTGTGGGCACTGTAATCCCGCTGCCTTCCGCCCCTCTGGAGCTGAATTTGCTCCTGGGATGCTCCTGCTGGTGCAGTGACGCTGTGGCTCTCGCATGCCAAGCCGTGCCTTGTCCGTGTGCGCTAACGGGTAGATGCCCGCTGTGTGCATCTGCTACATAAAAATAAGATATTTTTGCTCCCTGATTGTTGAGTTGCTTTTTAGCAAGCTTTCCCGTGTCGCCGTGAGGGGGAGAGGCTTGATTCCAGCGCCCACCCCCACCCCACAGATGCTCCATTTCCGCAGCACTCATGCTAGGGATGAAACAAACAAGCTGCTAGTCACTAATTCGGTGATTTGTCAGTAATTTGTGAAAGCAAGCATGCAGTGGTTTTGCGACTGCGAACACAAAAAATATAAAGGGTATAAAATGAGATAGTCATATTTTGCAGGCTTAAAGGTGCAATTTCCTTTATTTCCCCCCTTTAATTTCGGGAGTCTCAATTCAGCCTCTCCAGTACTACAGGGATTGTGCATGAATACCTTATGCCACTGCATACAGCTACCGCTCTCTTTCAGTCACAGCCCGTCTATTAGAAAGCAGGGAGAGACAATCTATTTGTTTTCACTCTAAGAACAAGTAATGCAATCCAGAGGCAGCTACGCAGCAGCTCCTGGGGATATCACCTCCAATACTGGATGCGTCCAAGGATTGCTCCCACTCAGGAGATGCCAGGACAAAAAGGCCTTGCCCGCTTAGTTCCACCGGACAGATGATCACCAGCAGCAGGACCTGAGAGCTCGCTTTCTCAGAGAAATGTTCTCCCGACTGTTCCCACTTAGCCCTTCAATTCCTATTCAAGCCCCAGTTCCCATTGAAGAGCCCGCCCCGCGGCGTGCGCCACCGCCATGCGCGCATGCGCGCCTCCGCGCGGCGCGGAGGAGCGGGACAGGGGGCAGGCGCGCGAGGCGGCGCGGGCGGCGGAGCCGTCGAGATGTCGCGTTACGGCCGTTATGGAGGCGGTGAGACCTCCTGGGGACCACGGACGGCGGGAGGTTGCTCGCTGGGGAAGGCGAAACGGGTCTGAGAGAGACGCGATTACCGCGGGAAACTGGGCGGCCGGCGGGCGCCGGTGGGGAGGGACGGAATGAAAGAAGGCAGGCGACGCGGCCGCCGCCGCCATTTTGCGTCAGCGGCCGTGGGGGAGGGAGCGCGGCCGGGCGCGAGGCGTTCGCGGTGAAGGCGGGAAGGGGCTGCGCGGACAAGATGGCGGCGGCCGGGGAAGAGCGGGGCTGAACCCACTCCCGGCACCGCGCTGAGACCCGGTCCGCTCCCGCAGAGACCAAGGTGTACGTGGGAAACCTGGGTACGGGCGCCGGCAAAGGCGAGCTGGAGAGAGCCTTTAGCTACTACGGACCGCTGAGAACCGTATGGATCGCCAGGAACCCGCCGGGGTTCGCCTTCGTGGAGTTCGAAGACCCCCGGGATGCTGAAGATGCTGTCCGTGGACTTGACGGAAAGTACGTGTCTATTTCGCGTTTGCCGAGGCTACTGAGAGAGAATCGGGGTTTATTTCTCGGGTCACTGTGCTTTTGTAGTTCTATCATGGAGTGCAAGTTTTTACCCAGAGCCTTCGTGGGCTCGTTGCAGGGTGATCTGCGGCTCCAGGGTCAGAGTGGAAGTATCCACAGGGATGCCGCGCCGCTCCCGCTACGACCGTCCTCCTGCCCGGCGCCCCTTCGACCCCAACGACAGATGCTACGAGTGTGGTGAGAAAGGCCACTATGCTTATGACTGTCACCGCTATAGCCGGCGAAGGAGGAGCAGGTACGTGCGGGGCCGGGGTGGCCGCATTGTTTCGCCAGCTCGCTTTTATATAGTTCTTGTTAGCAAAGAACACAATGTTACAGCGGTTTTCTTTAAACTTAAACGCTAGAATAAATGTATAGGTGTATATTACAATTTGTTGCTATTTCTATCAAATGTTAATATCTTAATAATCAACCTGGTCAAAACCTTTCAGGTTTCTTCGTTTGAGTCAGTCGCCTTGATTCAGAATGTCACGAGCCTTAAGATTTCATGCTGAGGCGCCTTGCAAATCCGACACTTAAGATCCTCCTAGACCTTGAGGTGATCAGCATAAGAGGCCAGATCCCCTCGAGCCATCTACACGTAGCTTCACCTTATTCTTTAAGGGCAGAAAATTTGAGACGGTGACCGCCGTAACAGTAAATTTGGCTTTCAATTGGGGGGCCCCCCTCCGGTTTAGAAAGAGGAACACCAGATTGACCACATTCCCACCTAGAAAAATCTTCTTGCGTCCATCAAGCCTCACCCTGGCTCATTGGGCTGTCAGTTTGATCGTCGTTAGATTGAAGAGAACACCTACCTAGATGCAGCGCTCGCCTATAGATACTTCTAGATCGTCTAGATCTGCTAGACCTTGGGCCAAAGAGGGTCGACCTGCAAACTTGCAAGGTTTATTTTAAATACGCATTATAGTGTTTTCTATTCTAATGTAATTCTGCAATGTAATTCAGCTTTTAACATTTTTCTAGGCAGTAAAAATGCTCAAGACAAGTAGGCCCAAACATTTTTCCAACTGACAGATGCTAGTTCTTTAGTTGTCTGAAAAAAGTTTTGACTTCAGCAGGGCCTCACACGTGCTGGTTGCTGCAGCTGTCTGCTGATACCTGTTTTTTTCTAACCTAAACCCAGGTCTCGGTCTAGATCCCGCTCGAGGTCCCGAGGAAGAAGGTATTCCCGGTCACGCAGTCGCAGCCGTGGTAGGAGGTATGTTTGAGTTCGTCTTTTATTCCTGTTGCCTTCTTTTGCCAAGGAAATGCTACGCTTGACCAACTCTTGGAATTGCTTTCTTTGCAGATCCAGGTCAGCTTCCTATCGTAGGTCCAGGTCTGTGTCTCCTCGTAGGTCTAGGTCCGTGTCTCCCCGCCGGTCCCGGTCAGGTTCCTTGAAGAGATCAAGGTAAATTAGTACTAATTTTTGTTCACACGTAGACATTCATTTATACAGTGCTGTAATTGTCATAATTTCTGCTTGAGTTGACTTCTTTTTAATTTATCTCAATTTTTAAATTTCAGGTCTAGATCAAGATCCAGATCTAGATCGAGATCTGTTACATGGGCTCGAAGCAGGTATGTAACTGTACACAGTTGGTAAAAGTTGCTTAAAAGTCTGTTTAAACTCTCTAACAACTGGAACTTTTTTTCCAGAAAAATGTGTTTTCCCTCCACTAACTTAGGGGTTTCTAGTTTTAAAAAGCAGTGCAGAAGATTTTTCTTCCTCTTTTTGTTCTTTTGCACGCCAATAACATCTTGGTCACCATAGTCATCGCAAATACTAATTTGATCAGGTTGCATTAAGAGCTACCAAATGTACAAATAATCTCAAAAGTTTCTTTTTCTTTGTGTAGCACACCCAAATGATTGTGGATTCTTCCCACTATTTTCCAGAGAAAGCAGGATGGCCTTCTAGTAGTGTGTTAATGCTTTATTGTCTGCAGCCAGGCAAGTCATGAAGGGCTTGCTGGTGTCTCCTGAGTGTTAGAGTTGCAATTCCAGCTCTGTTGAATATCAGTGTCAATCTGCAGGAGTTGATTTTAATATGAGATAAACACCGGTCAAAATTACTTTGTACCAATAAACCTGTCACAAGAGTAACAGCCAGATATTAAACGAACACACTATGCTATTTGTTACCTTAAACTTCACTTGACAGTAAGTGCAGCCTGTGCTTCATGGAGACTTGTCCTGGCAGCAGGGCTGTCTGGGTGTCCTCAACAAGAATAAGAGTAAATGGAGATTCTGCTCTGGATTTGGAATTGTTTATTGGCCCAGGCCATCCCAGTGCCTGCTGTGCTGGTTCTAATGGCTGTTCTCTGAAACAAGGAACATCCAGCCATGAAGAAACACAGGAAAATACAGGATAGCTTCAGCTAAAGGGAACAGGTGGAAAAGCCCAAGGCTGAAGGTGGCATTTTTTGAGGATGGACAGCAAGCAATGATGGGAGTTTTAAGGGAGAGATGAAGACCAGATGGCTTAATTAAGAGCAGAAACTCACACAAATAGTCCAGAAGCTGGTAAAGAGGGAAGAAGGTTGCCCAGGGCAGTAGAGAGTCTGTACCCAGTCTCTCTGACTGGGTACAGCTGTGACTAAACTATGTTGTACTGGTTGTTCCAACATGACTTAATCATGGCTTATCACTGTTGACTGTCAGTGATGAGCAGGAAACGGCTATAGTCAGCAGAATCTCAAAGAGGAAAACATCTTGATTTTACCACCATTGCTTTCTCTTTTTGGCACCAGGCTGGTTTTCTGCAGGGTAAAGGATACTTGTAGTGACATTTCTAGACTATTGTGTGACACTTTCCGTTTTAAGTAGAAATTAAGTGGCTGAGGCATAGGAAATTACAGATGTACAACTAGACAGAAGGGGCAAAAGAATTGTGCTTATGCAGTTGAAAGATTATTTCTTCACAGAAGAGTCCAAGGAATGCATTGCACCCAGAGACAGACTAGATGAGTGCATAGCATTTGCTGGTTTGACAGTATCACAACACACATCTGGCAATTGTTGTGAAAAACCTTGGATGTGGAATATAGAACACTGCCTTGGGGAACCTCAAAATTTCTGTGAAGCTTTCAGGCAGTATTAGTGTTCTTGTGTGCAGCAGTATCAAAGGTGGACATTTTCCCCATTTTTTTCATAAGGATTAAGTTCAAACATTAAAAAAAAAAACAACTTGAAGCAAGTGGATATAAAAGATGAACTTCACTGAGAAGATACTTGTGGGAATAAGCTCTCTGCAACTACAGTGGTAGGTATTGCTCAAGTCTAATAAAACATGCAAGTTTAGAGCATGGGTTTTTATTAGTTCTGTGAAAATAGTGGTCAGGATTTGGGTTGTTCCTGTGTTCCTGCCACCTGCATCAGTGAACACTGGTTATCAGCTAGGGACCAAAGTACAGAGCAACACGTGCAGCATCCATGTAAAAAGACTTCTTTGGAAACTTAACAGGCAAAACCCTGGAAAATTGCAGGATTCTGTGTATTCAGCATGATAGTTACTCATCCACTGAGTGTCAGTCCTGCTGTCCTGCATGCTCTCAGTTTCCCTGCTGAGCTGTCCTTTTTCTTATTGCAGGTCTAGGTCTCATGGCAGATCAAAGTCTGGCTCACCGGCTAAGAGGTGAGCATGCACACATAGAGTCTGCAGTAGCATCTCAAATTTAGGTTTGCATGATTAACAGAGCCTGGTCCTTTAGAAAAATATCCCCCTAACATGGGTCCCCAGCTAATCTCTTTGTGATATGACAGAAATCATAACAATTTCCTCTGCAACTCTTTGTAATGTGTTCCTTACCTGTCTCTTGGTTTTCATTAACTCTTTGCAGTTTCCAACATAGTACGAATTTTTTGTGTCTTTGTACTCAGTTCTGTTAAATTTTTCTGTCCATCAGATGAAGAGCTTGAGCTTTGTTAATGCTTTTCATAAAACACAAATCTGGAGATGTTGCTTTTCTCAAAGCCTCACCTTAGTACCACCCCTTTTTTTTCTGTTTGTCTGCTGAAGGAAGTTGTTTAAAATGCATCTCTGTGCTAAGTGAAGGGAGAATCCCTGTCAGAGTAAAAGTTGATCTGAAAACTACCATTTGAATGACCTTCTGGCTAGATCCCTATAATTTACTTTTTGATAGGTTGGGGGGTTTTTTAAACATAAAAGTTGCATTTGGCATTTAAACTGCATTGATGCTGTTCTGTTTTGACAGCCGGTCAAAGTCCCGGTCACCATCTCCAAAGAGAAGGTACGTTGGTCTCCCTACTAATAGCATAGACGCTGTAGAGCTGGCATTTTAGTATCTGCACTTAGCTCTGCTGAGGAGTTTGCTGCTTGTAGCAAAATACTGGAAAGGTATTTTGCTGAGATCTCTTTCATAACAATAATGTTGTGGTTGTGACTTTCTGTATGGTAATACATATATGTGGAGAAAAACCCTCAGGTTTATGTAGCAGTGTCTTGTCTTTACTCCCCTATTCCTTTTGGTTCACTAACAGTTTTATTGCACAGAGACTGAAGAGCTAAAAGCATAGAATAAATGTAGGAAATGATTTTTCAGTCTCATTAAAAACTGCATTGACATTGGGGAAGGTAGAGTGGAGTAATCTGGCACAGCAGTCAGGAATGGAAAATCAAGCCTGTTACATTCACTGTTGTTAGATTATTTTTTTATTTCCCAGAAAGTCAGTAAATAGTTTTCTCTCTGTTTCTGTTGCACAGAGTAATGTATAGAATATGTGTATCAGCAGCATTTTTTCCCTAAGTAGAATTCTTTAATAGTTCATTTTTACAACTTTGGTGTCAAACAATCACAAGGGCATAAGTAAGTCCTCATAAACGCTGAGTGATCACCAAATAGGTTTTGACAAGCTGCTGTATCAGAACAGCATAACAGAAGAAGTATCTTTCCCCTTTGGAGGCCACTATAAGTAATATCCTTTAGATGGCCTTACAGTGATCTCACTTAAAAAATAACAGTAAAGAAGAAAAGTGTTATCTCCAGATCATCAACCTGTTAACTTTTGTCAATAGTGATTGGTTATTTTATTTAAAAAGAGTGCTTAAAGGGAACCGGAGTCTGCGTATACTCCTGCTGCTTTTTCCTGTATTTTTGATTCCTAAGCAGCTACTGAAATGTTAATTGTGGATTCTTTTCCTTTCAGCCGTTCACCATCAGGAAGCCCTCAGCGAAGTGCAAGTCCTGAAAGAGTGGATTAAAGTTATGAAGTTAATCTATTAGGAAGAAAGCTATTTTGCTTACATTATTATAAGGGATTTTGTGGTGTCTTTGTAAATGTAAGAATGTAGATAGAAGAGTATATCAATTATAATTTGGCATGATCTGGGTCTTCTGAGTTAGTCACACCAATAGACTAGCACAGGTCTCTTTTTATTGTTTGAATTAACTTCCTGTGATATGAAAATGTGGGACTTTTTTATTGGCACATTGAAATAAAACGTGTATTTTTAATTAAAACTCCTCTAGTAACCCTGCTGCTTCTGTTAACGTTTGGGTAATTTTAGCTGTGTGCCATGTAACGTGGATGAAAAATGTCTAAAATGGGAATCACTAATCCCAGCTGGTGTCTTCTCAAGGTAGTCACTTTTCACATCTACTATTGAATGATCTTTGGTGGAAGGATCAGTTCCTGCTCTCCTTTAAGTGGAATTTAAAATCCATCTGTCTGCAGATGGATAAAAATTTGTGTATGCCGTTTTCATTCCTTGATACTTGGCGGGCATTTATTTTTCTGCCTGATCTGCTTATTCTGCAAAGCTCATTCTCTGATGTTTGACTGTTAGATACCGGATGCCCCAAAAATGTAAGGATAAACTTTCCTCCAAAACACATCTTTTAAGAAAATAACAAATGCAGAAACCTCTAAAGGTAATAGAAATCATTAATAACTTGACAATTGTTACTTTAACTTGTTGCATTTTTTAGTTCCTTAGGCTATTGATATAAAGAAGACTTTTTAAAATATCTCAAGGTGTGTTTTCCTTCTTTGAGGGAAGATCCTTAAAATGAAAGATGGTCAGCTGCCTTCAGGATTTCTAACCTGCTTCACAGAAACTGGTATGGTTGTAAAGCAGCCCATATCCTGGAGATGGCTTTGTTGAAAGGTGCCAGTTTCTTACAGCAAATACACAACCTGCAGGAGTCATTATTTGTGTATAGTGTGTCAAATTTTCTTCATTATGTATGAAGGAATTGCATGATAAAGCACTTCGACACTGATCACAGCAAGGGACTGGCAACAATGTTGGACTATGAACAAAAAACTGGTAGGCAGAGGGAAGAAAAGCATCTTTTCTTTTTGCTCGGATTGGCTATCCAACAGAAATAAAGGCCAGTTTCAGCAGCAAGTAAGCACTGAAATGGAAAGCCAGGCCTGTTTGGGCTTCCAATGAAATCTATCATGGCAGTTTGCTTCTATTGTGTAAACCACTGCAGAACAGCTTAAATACCACTGCAGAAGAGCTTAAATAAAGTTACGAGATGAACTTCGTTACACCTGGGGTAACTCATGTTTTTCAAGAAACATTTCCTTTTAATAATGACTGCATGGTGCTTTTCCAGTGGATGAGCCAACAGTCCAGATCCTGAAGGTGCTGTTCTGCTGCAGCATCCTCTGGCCTTTATGCCTGGTCCTCGCTGTGCCTGGATCCTCCCTGGGGCTCACCATGGCCATTGGTGTTCCAGGTGGATTCTGGCCATACTCACCAAATCCCACTGTTCCCACAGTGGGAGAGCAGAGCTGACACAAATGTTACCCTGCAGTGATTTAGCCCAAATGCCTGAAGCCTGTGATGCGTGTTTGGAGTATTTTACTGGTTGTGCATTGTGAACCTGGTGAGAGGTATGTACACCACTGCTCTGGAATTTCATCACCTTTTCTTTTCTGTACTCTCACGACAAACCTGCTCCACAATAAACCTGCAGACTGACATGACAATTCTACTGGTACCTGTCTTTCAGTACCCAGAGACACTGGAAGACTGAGCAGAGGAGCCCAGGGTTTCTCTAGGGGGGCTGAGGTTCCTCTAAACCCAGAAGTGAGAACCTGACCAAGGAGCAGGGCTGTGCTAGTACAGATAGCCACTCCAAAGGACAGCCAGCACTTGTAAGGTATAGAGGGGGAGCAGTCACAAAGGTGGCTTCTGTGCAGCTGGCAGTCTGGTAGGATTTCACCACAAATTCCATAGTGTTTGTGAGCAGTTGGAAAAGATCCCCTGACACAGAGGTGTGTTGTGTGACTGGTGCTGCTGTGCCTCTGGGCAGGCTGTGCACACCCCACACAGGCTGGCTGGAGGTGGGGGGCAAGGGGAAGTGTATCTGAGGTCTCCAGAACGGTGGGCAAACCCCACTCTCAGAGAACATGGGGTTCACCCTGGTTTCCAACCTGGTGTTTCCTGTTGGTGGGCTTTGTTTTCCAAGGGATACCAGCCCTCAAAGATAATATGATCACTACTGTGCACAGCAGAATAGTAGGGCACTTCTTTTAGTGTCAGGGTGGCAGAACTGACTGTGACAGGGCTGCCACATTTGCAAGCCAAATGGCCAGGCACTTCCACTGGGGTCAAGGGCATTCCTGCATCTCTGCAGCTGAGGAAGCATGGTGAAGTGCTGCAGGCCCTGGGTGCAGCAGCATGGCAGGAAAAGGTGGGACATTATGCCTGATACAAGCACTGTACCTGTTTCCCTGAAGAGTGGGCTATCAGCTCCCTAATAGGATGGTGCTGTCATCCCCTGGCTTGTGCCAATTTTTCTGAACCCTCAGAAACATGGAGGTTTTCATTAGATTTTGAAGATTTCATGTGGAAACGCAGTGTTAGGATGATGGCTTTTCCCTTGCAGTTGTATATTCAGGACTAAACGGGTCTGCCCACTTCAGCAATCAAAGTAGAGCATAGGAGTTTAACCAGAGCATCCAGAGCAGCCAGTTGGGATAAACCCAGCACACCATCCTCCTCAAAGCTATCCTGCATGAGCACTGCACACCACTTAGAGAGAGCACTTAGATGTTGTAACAAACAATCACAACTGCATCAGCCTTCTCACATGCTCCACATGTATATTACCAGATAATCCCTGCCGTAGTTGGAGCTGCAATATGCCATGCCTCTGGCATTTTTACTCCAAAATAAAACCCAGTGCCCAGGGTGAGAAGCTGGACAGAGTGTGAGAGCTTTGCACAGACCAGACAGCAACAGAGGCGGTGACAGGAGTTAAAGCCAGCAGAAACCACAGGTGAAAACGACAGTGGAAAAAGGCTCCCAAATCAGATGCATCACCTGGGGTAGTTGTAAAGCTCTGTTTGGCATCTGACAGGATTTCTGGCTCAGCTGCTGGAGGCACTTACCCCTCTCAGTGGTGGGAGTCAGCAGCCCTTCTCCTCAAGCAGTGTTGAACACGAGCCATGTGGTATGGTTGTATTCCTCACCCGGATGCAGCAGGACATTGGGGAAGTGAGGCTGGGGAGAAGCAGCAGCATATCAGTGACTGTGAGCACATTCCGTGGGACCAGAAAGCACGGCTGCCTCCTTTTTGTCTTCCCAAGGCATATTCCCACAGCTCCTCCCCCAGCGATTTCCAGCAGCAGTGTGTAACCACCCACCACTTGCCAGCGGGCTGAGTGGGTGAGTCCTACCGCTGGTTGAATTCAGGCCATGAGGAATGATTCAGATGTAAGATGTGGCAAGGCCCCACATGGCAAGGGGTCATCTGCTCTATACGCCACACCTTTGGGAAGCTGGGCTGCACAGGGCCAGTCCCTGCTGTGCTGACTGACCGCTGTCTAAAGCCACCACTGTGCCTGCCTCACTTCTGGTGTCTGCAGTGTCCCCTTGACAAGCAGACTCTGTTTCTACATTTAGTGTCCCGTTGACATGGAGGGTAGTGGGGGTATGTCCCCTGCCACAGGACTCAAGTAAGCTGTGGGGGGGAATGGACAGCTCACCTTGTTAACAGCATCGGGCCAGTTCTGGGTTTCTAGGCAGAAAGCCGAATGCTTGGGGTACACGGCAGCACCTTTGCCCTTCAGGGAGCCATCCAGGTTGTTCCCGGTGTAAAACTGAATGCCAGGCTGGGTGGTGTGAACCTCCATGGTCCTGCCAGTGGGTGGGTGGAAAACCCTGTGGAGATGCCAGTGGAGGATGACACGGACTGGCTGAATGGGCACTCCCTGCTCCAGGGGTGGGGACTCCTGCTGAGATCCCAGCCTACCTGGCCACGAGGCGTCGATCCTGCCCCTGATGCAGGCAGAAGTTGTGGTCGAAGCCATCCAGGTGAAACTTTTGCAAGTGCTTGCCCAGCTCCACCGGCTGCCGGAGATCAAATCCAGTGCCCTGCACAGCAGCCACCTCCCCTAAGCAAGGAGAACAGCAGGCTCAGCCACTCACCCACTTGCCAGCAAACCTTACCTTGTCCCCTTCATAGCCGGCAGCTCCTGGGGATGCCTCTGTTCTTAGCAGGGGTAAAGCACAGACAAGCAGCAAGAAAATGCACAGAAGTTTGTATATGTACAAAATCAGTATTTTCTACCTAGTCCTTGTTAAGATTGCTGTGGGCATACAATGTCCTGTGATAAAGCAGCACAAACAACCCCAGGACATACTAAACACAGTGCAAAACAGTCACCCCAACCCAAAGGTGAGGGGTTTTGCACGGAGGGCAGAATTAACACCTTGAAAAAAAAAAGGAAACAGTTCAAATTCAAGCACTTACATAAAATACAGCAAGCATTGCACACAAGGCGTCTGTCTTTAACAATTGCACAAATCTTATCTTCATCCCAGGACTAAGGCTACCCACATAAGAAGGAACTGCAAAAGGCATGGGTAGCAAGCTGACCACAACTGAGATGTGAAACAGCTCCATGGTGAAAGCAGCAGGGAGAAGCAAGGCACTGGGTTGTGTATGGCCTTAAGCTCTTCCCCTATTTGTGCACAAGCATGACATACCAAGCTGAGCAGAAGCCACCTGGACCAGAGAACCCACTTTTCCAGGTGCCACAGGGAGCTTGTGTCCTGGATGGACTCAAATAACAGCCTCACATCCCATGTGCCTCTGGCCCCATTTCCTGCTGCTCCTGCCTGCTCTCTGGGGCTGGTGATGAACCTGGTTACCAGCACCTTGCTCTGCCCACCCTGCTCAGGTGCAGTGGGACTGCACCCAAAGGTGAGGGCCCTGCTATGCCTGGGTGTCCCCCTTGCCAGGCAGTGCTGCTGCCCGCACCCACCAACAATGCTCAGAAAGATCACTTCCACCTGGCGTTGCAGGTGCTGCACCACCTACCAGTAGGGATCTTGGTGTCGTCCACAGGCAGATAGGAATCTGCTTCAATGGCGATCTCGTGGTCATAGACATGCCTGGAGCCCTGCAGGAGGATGGGAAATGCTAGGATTCCTGTTGCAGCCACTGTTCAAGCAGCCCTAAGCACAGCTGTGAAGTGACAGTCCACAGTGGTGCCCCAGGTGTACCTGATCAGGTAGTGCCTGGAGCACCTCCTGGCCCTCATTCCACCTTGACACAGGAGAAAGGTACTGGCACAGGCAAAAACCTTCATGGGCCCTAGGAGCTGTAAATCCCTCAGGGATGAGACCATCAGTCTGTTCTTGTACCTCACTGAGCACTACCACCCTGCAGACTGACTAGCCAAAACATGCTGGGTACTGAGCACACAGCAGCAGGGAGAAGGGGAAGGAAGAAAGCAAGGGGAAATGCAATCCATCCTCGTGTCTCAACTACACTTCTGCGGGGGTATGCTCCTCTTCCTCTTCTGCAGCCTCAGGAATGCTGGCAAGGAACCTGCTGGGCTGGAAGGGGAGCAGGCTCAAAGCGGGAGCCTTCAGGCCACTATCTAATCTGAGCGGCAATTTTGTGCTCAAAGGTCTCCTGTTCCTCTGGAACATTCCTGAGTTGCACACTGCAGATGTTGGCTATTACTGCACTCTGGGAGCACCAGCAGAGGGTACACCAACAACTGCACAGTCATTCTCAGGGCAGCAGCCCTGGGCACAGCTCCTTGCTCAGAGGGGCTGGGTTGTCTCTCACAAACACTTTTAACGGCCTTTGTCTCACATCCAAATGTGACTGCACTGTATTATCATATTGCTCTGCCCAGCAACATTTTATTTCTCAGATCCTTTTCTTCCAAGTGCGGTCATAAACTGTGAGATTAAAACATAGATGCAATTCACTGTCCGTGTGGTTGACAAAACCCTGTATGGGTGTGTGGGAGCCCTCTGCATCCTGCTGCAGCAACCTTGCTAGTCTGCAATCCTGGCAATCTCACATCCCCTTTCCATGATGTTTCTTCTGCCCATTTTGACCAGGATACTTTGGTGCTGCTGCCACTCTAGGCCCCAATCTCAACCGCACCACTCTCTCAGAAATGCCAACAGAATACAGTTTAGAAATGCCAGGCCACGACTAGGGAATGCCAGCTCTGCACCTCCTCCATTATCTTCCCAAGGGACCAGGAGAGAGTGAAACTCTCCCGTTACACACAAAAGGAGAACCAACACGCTCAACTGGATGTCTCTGTTCAAGAAGCACTGAGATAATGTGTCCTCAGCTGAGGTCCGCATGATTCAGTCCTGTTCCTGCATGCAGCCCATGATGCACAGAGACAACCTTCATTGCTGTGTCCCCAAAACGTTGGTCCCAATGATCATCCCATGGGTCCCCAGGCTTTCTTACCCTGCACAGTGTGTCTCCATGGGGCCCATCTCCTCACACTTACCTGCCCTGCCAGATTGAAGTACGCATGGTTTGTCAGGCTGATGGGGGTTGTCTTGCTGGTCTGTGCCTGGTAGTTGATGGCCAGCTCCCTGCCACTAAGGGTGTATGTCACCCAGACTTTCAGGTCACCAGGGTAGCCTTCCTCGCTGTCGGGGCTGAGCCGAAAGAAGCGGACACCATTCGGGAGCACCTGGGGGCTCCAGAGAACCTGCAAGGAGCACAGTGTTAGTGGAACAGGAATGGCAACATGGTGCCCTTCCTTCCTGCCCCAGGATGGGCTAAAAACAGGGACAGAAGGCATGCAAGGGATGTTGCACCAAAACAAAGGCTTTTTCAATTACCTTTCTAAAGAAAATGCAAGCACCAGCCTGCTCTGGACCAACAACAGGGAACAAGTTTTCCACTGAGCAGCCAAACAAATGAGGCAATTTGGCAACGAGGCAAGTCTGACGGGGGTCTGTTCCAGCCTGTGTTATGCCATGCTGTCCTGGGGTACAATGCAAAAATGTGTATTCTATCACCATCTGTTAAAATGTGGGAGGGGTGGTGATCCTTATCTCTGTGGGAGATATCCTCTGCTGATGTGCCATCTGATAAGATGGGGGGATGATCATCGTTATCTATTCACAACC